CCCGGATACAGAGGAGCCATTAACCCACAGCCACTCCGTCTTACCAGGGTTCAGCCGAAGCTTGTTGTTCCCCATCCAGATCCTTACAGCCTCCAGGCATCGTGAAAGGGTGGCCACGGCATCACTTACTTCACCAGGGATGGAGATGTATAGCTGCGTATCATCAGCATACTGATGATACCTCATCCCATGATGACGGATGGTCTCACCCAGTAGTTTCATGTAGATGTTGAAAAGGAGCAGAGAGGGAACCGAACCCTGCAGCATCCCACAGAGGAGGGGCCAAGGATGGGACCTCTCGCTCCCTATCACCACCGATTGGGATCGGCCCTGGAGAAAGGAGGCGAACCAGCACAAGGCCGTGCCGCCCACCCCCAATTCCCCAAGTCGTCCCAACAGGATACCGTGATCGATGGTATTGAAAGCTGCTGAGAGATTAAGGAGAGCAAGGATGGTCGCACTTCCACCATCCCGCTCCTGTCAGAGGTCATCCATAAGTACAACCATAAATATTTAGGTTATTTGGTGGCTAAAGTTGCTCAGATATGCTCTGCATTGGGATCTAACTGGGCAGGGCAGGTTAAGGTGCCTGGGGCACTGTCTGGTGGTATGATCTAAGATGGGTTTGAGCTGGTGACTCCTGAGAAAATGGACAGGGTGACTTCTGAGAAAGTGGACAGGGCTTTCTGTTCTGTCAGCTTGGCCACCTGTTTACTGGATCTGGGTCCCTCCTGGGTTGTGAAAGCAGCCAGGGAGGTGACCCACAGTTGGGCTGTAGTGTTAGCCTCTTAGATGGAGGGGGTGGTACCCCCAGCTTGAAAGAGACAGTGATGTACCCCCTCTTCAAGAGACCATCCTTGAACCCAATGGTCTTTGATAGCTATCAACCAGTCTCCAACTGTCCTTTTCTGGAGAAGATTATTGAGAAGGTGGTTGGTCTGTAGCTGATGAAAACAGATTACATTTACCTGACATATTTCAGTCAGGTTGCAGGCTGAGATTTAGTACTGAGACAGCTCTGGTCACACTAGTAGATGATCTGGATCTGGGATGGCAATGATGCATCCATCCTTGTGGTCTTTGATCTCTTGGTGGCTTTCGATACCATCAACCATGTTATCCTTCTGAGCTGGCTCTACTGGTTGGGGATTGGGGGCACTATTTTACAGTAGTTCTCTTCTGGGCTGGCTCTGGTTGGTGTTGGGGGGGGGAGAGAAATCACTGCCTAGGCTCCTCCTGCATGTGGTACTGTAGGGTTCTACTCTCTCTCCCCTCCTTTTCAATATCTATATGAAACCACTTGTCACCACTAGGTGAGGTCATCCTCCAGTCTGGGGTTCGGTATCATCAGTACACTGATGATACCCGATTATATCTTTTGACTCTGGGCCAGCAAAGTGAGGCTGTCAAGGTTCTGTCTCAGTGCCTGGAGGTTCTGTGGGTTTGGATGGGGAGGAACCATTTCTGAGTTAATCCTTCCAAGACTGAGTGGCTGTGGGTGTTTGGGCTGCCTGGATCTGGGGATATTTCATCTCTGACCTTGGATGGGATTGCACTTCTCCATTCAAGAATGGTGTGCAACTTGAACAGGGAAAGCCCCTGGACCAGATGGTTTAACGAGTTCTTACTATAAATGTTTTAAAGATGAACTGTTATTACCACTTAAGCAGATGATGAACTCTATTCTAGGGGTCTCACCAATACCAGAGACTTGGAAGGAAGCTAATATAGTGTTATTGCCATAAGAGAGTCAAGATCCAACTATGACTAAAAACTACAGACCAATCTCTTTGTTAAATAACGATTATAAGCTCTTCACATCAATATTACCAGAGAGATTGAAAAAGATTTTATCAGACTTTATATATGAAGATCAAGGTGGCTTCTTGCCTAAAAGACAACTGAGAGACAGTGTAAGAATTGTTCTAGATATAATAGAATATTTACAACATCATAATGAAAAGCAAGCAGCACTGATCTTTTTGGATGCGGAGAAAGCTTTTGATAATTTGAACTGGTTGTTCCTGTTTAAAGTTTTGGAAGATTTGGTGAGAATTTTCTGCAAGGGATTAAATCCATACACACTTCCCAAAAGGCAAGTATTATTGTTAATCATGAAAACCATGTGAGATACAAAAGGCGACAAAACAGGGTTGCCCCCTGTCACCTTTATTTTTTATTTTAGTCTTGGAAGTGTTAAATAGAGATATTAGACAAAATGTGAATATTAAGGGTTTACAAATAAAAAAAAGAAGTCTTTAAATTAAGAGCCTTTGCAGACGATTTAGTTTTGATTCTACAGGAACCTCAAAATGGAATTGAATGTTCAATGAAGAAATTGAAAGATCTTGGTGCACTTGCTGGATTTAAGGTAAATAGACAAAAAACAAAGAAGTTGGTTAAGAATATGATTATGAAAGTTCAAGAAATATTGATGAAGAAGTCTGGTTTTAAAATTGAAAAAAGGTTAAGTATGTGGGAGTTACATTGACTAATATGAATCGTAATCTATATCAAAATAATTATGTTAAAGTCTGGAATGATATTAAAAAGGATCTATCTTAATGGGGGAACTGTCACTGTTAGGTAGAATCTCAGTAATTAAAATGAATGTTTTACTTATAATGCTTTTTCTTTTTCAGACAATACTGATATTGACAAATGATGTACCGTTTAAACAATGGCAGAAGGATACTTCTAAATTTGTGTGGCAAGGTAAAAAACCAAAAATAGAATATAAACTATTACAGGATGCCAAAGAAATAGGTGGGTTAGGTCTCCCAGATTTAAAGCTGTATTTGATGCTTGTTGTCTGTTATGGAAAGAATGGATGATTTTACAAAACAAGAGGTTATTGGAATTAGAAGGACATGGGTTAAGATTATTAGACTTCTATATTGAGAATTTGGAATAAATATAAGGAAAGATTGTTTCCAAAAATCCCTCTATGGTTGTCACCTCAAGAAGCTTTCTATAGAAGAGAAATGATGGTTAAGCAACCATGGTTGACGTATGCAACTCTCTTATCGTTTTCTGAAGGAGCACTTAACCTGAAGTGGGGAAAAGAACTAGAATTGGAAGGTTTTGTTTGCCAATGGTTTACATATGCACAGCTGCTAGGAAGATTTAAACTAGATAAGAAAAACTATGAATTTACCACTGAGAAAACTGAGTTTGAATATGCTTTGTATACTAACGATGAATGTCCTATTGCTAAAATGTATAACCTTTTGTTAAAGATGAATTTGGAAGATGAATATGTTAAAGATTGTATGGTTAAATGGGCAAAAAAATTAGATCTAATTATTAATTATTAATTATTAATTAGAATTAATGATTAATTAATTATTAATTAATCTAATAATTAGATCTAATTATTAATTATTAATGTTAGATCAGTGGGAAAATATATGGAACAAAGGGTTAAAGTTTATTCTTAATTATACATTAAAAGAATTTTTTAATAAAATAATGTACCATTGCTGTTTGACACCAGATAAATTGTCAGATACCAATGGTACATTATATGGTATCTCAGATGTTTGTTGGAAATGTAATCAATGTGAAGGTACATATGTACTTTGACTCAAAAGATTTTGAAAACAGAGTTACAATTGAAACCAGAGACTTTTCTTTTAGATATATGATGGATAAACAAATGGAAAGACAACATGGAAATGTATTCTTTATATGATAACTGTGGCGAGACTTCTATATGTGCAAAAATGGAAAGATAAATACCTACTGCTGAAGAATGGCTATTGAAATTAATGGAATTGGCGGAGATAGCGAAACTTACCGCTTTGCTCAAAGACAGGGCACTGTCCAACTTTGTCTGTAATTGGAAACTACTCTTAGACTTTTACTTGATACTCAAAAAAATGCAACTATGATTCTGGGATTTGCTGATTGATGTTACACTTATAGAAATATCGTATACAAATTATATGTATTGTTCAAATAGATTAATTTTTAGGAATTTCTCTGAATATTAGATTAAAAACTATTCTTTGCTATGTAAATTTTTTAAAGAGGTGGATATATTTTCTATCTATACCTGTACCAAAGAAAGTTGGAAGCTACTCTTTTCTTCTTATGTCCCCTTTTCTTCCCTCCCCACTTTTTTCTTTTTTCTTTTTTTTCCCTACTTTTTTTCTTGATTTTTTTGTATTTTAACTTTTGTGGAAAAAATTAATAAAATTTATTAAAAAAAGAATGGTGTGCACCTTGGGAATCTTCCTGGACTCACAGCTCCTGCTCAATGAGAAGGTGGCAGCTGTGGCTAGGAGGGCCTTTGCACAGCTCCATCTGATTTACCAGTTGCACCCTTTCCTATATCAGGGGGCCTTTCAGACAGTCACTCATGCCCTGGTAATCTCATGGCTTGACTACTGCAATGAGCTCTATGTGGGGCTGCCCTTGAAGACCACTTGGAAGCTTCAACTGGTCCAGAATGTGGTGGCACAAGCAACGATGGGCATGCCTTGGTATTCCCATGCAACGCCTCTGCTTTTCAAGCTGCACTGGTTGCCGGTTTGCTTCCTGCGGTGATTCAAAGTTCTGGTCGCTACCTATAAAGCCCTTCATAGCATGCAGCCGATTACTTGAGGGACCGCCTGTCTCCCATGGTGTCTGCCTGGCCAATCTGAGGGGACAGGGTCGATGCACCCCGGGTCCCTTTGATTAACCAACATCCTCTATCAGGAACCGGGAAGTGTGCCTTCTTTGCTGCAGTGCCTGCCCTCTGGAAGAAGGTTTCCCTGAGACCTGAGCAGCCCCACTCTGCCGGTGCCTCGAAGGGGCCCAAAGGCCCAGCTTTTTGCCCAGGACTTTGGAGCCCTCTTTGCTGGGGTCGTTTTCTTTTGTTTCTAGCCGGTTTGTTATTCTGCCCTCTCTGCCCCTTTTTCCTTCTTGTTGTTTTTGTTGTCATATTTTAAATAATTTGTTAACCACCCAGAGTTGCTGGGAGTTGAGCAGCATATAAATTTGATAAATATATACATAATAAAATTAAATAAATAAGAAATAATTTACAGTTCTTAGCAATGTTTGCAAGGGCAGCTGGCTGCTTCCTGAAGAGTCTCTGTGCATTACTGATTTTTATTTTTTGTTTTCAGACTGATGCTGATTTCCTTTTGTGGTTATTTCTTGTTTAGATACATTGAATAGTTTTCTTACAGTTTGTTTCTTCTAGTGAGTTAATTGCATCAGTTACGTTTTGTTGGAATCTCTATTACGTGAAATAGAGGTGGCAGAATTAGTAACGTTCGGAATGGCTCCAAAGACGCAGAGGTCGGGGGGGTCTGTTGCACCGGAACCACAGGGGAATGGAGCACAGGCCACACTGATGGGCCATAGTATCCTTCTTTCTGAAGGAGGGGAGAGAGGGGGCCAGTGAAAAAAAAGCACCCTAGGTGCCCTGAAGGGTTTTTTCCCACTGAAACCTGAAACAACAAACACATTCTAGGTTGGTTTCCACCAAGCCCCATTTAATCTGGAAAGGCTCTGCAGAACTGCCAGAGTAGCGGCTTGAACACAAATACAGTTTCTGTTCCCTGCTCTTTGCTGCTCGCCAGACCTGCCCCCCCCACCTCCCAGATCTCTTTGCTGCTTGGGAGTTTTGTATCTCCCCAGGCCTTCACTCCTGCCTTTATTTCAGTGCAGTTGAAAAACACCTCCATCCCACCCCACCCCACCCCGGTCAGGCCTCTTTCTCTTTCTGCAAGGTTACTTGTGAAAAGCCTTGTGTACTCACTTGGTCCAACTCCAAAGAAGATGACAAGCAAGAAAATCAGGATGACACTGCAGTGAGACATCCAAGGGAGGTTTTTCTGGAGGTGGAAAAAAGAGAACAGGCACTACAGAAGCTTTGGAGACTGGGAGGTCCACCAGCCCCCTTCCCCAACAGGGCTCTCTGATCAATGCAGCCATCTCAGAAAACTGGAGGCCTCATCGAGCAAGGCAGGGCTGTGGAGCTTGTCTGAAGGACATTCAGATGGCTGAGAGCCTCTGCATACACCCCTCCTCCCACCACTGTTACAGGAGTCCTCCTTCCCATCACCAGCCCAGGTCAAACGAGGCAACTAGAGTTCAGTCTTATCAAGAGGCAGATTGGAAGAGTTGGTCTAAAGCGTTAGAATGTAACACTGCAGATTCACAAAATTAGAAGGGGCATTAGGCCATCAAGTCCAACACCCTATTCAGGGCAGGAATCCCAAGTCAAGTATCCCAGTGAGATGTAATGGTATGTGGGAATGACCTTGGGAGACAGGGAGAAAAGACGCAGCCAAGGAATGGCCAGATAAAAGGCAGCTTAGCTCGCAAAAGGAATGTCAGTGTGGCAAGAGGCTCAGAAGGGACCCTCCCTAGTTTCTTGGGCTGTAAAGGCAACGGGGGGAGAGA